ACTGGAGATCCTGGCTTCCCAGAGGCAGTCAGTGCTGGACTGGGATCCCTTTAGGACAAACACATCTCTGCACATGTAAAATGGGATCACTGCAGTGTTATTTTAAAGGTCAGCCTGCTAGATTTGTATGGCCTCATGTGATTTATGTGGACCAGGCTTGTGGCCAAATACTGATAATGCTGATTGAAAAGGGTTGGGGAAGGTGTATCCTAACACTGCAAATACTGAACCTCTTATGCTTATAATCTTATTAAAAAAGGGAAATTTAGTAGTCACATACTCAATGATAGAGATTTATGGGAATTTTTAACAATTTCAAAGCAAACCCCCACCCTTGTGGGAATCAGACATCTGTGGGGGTAAGGCCAGCCTGTTGTTCTGATTAACAAATGCAAATAACATCAAGATTTAAAATTCAGGCAGCTGAACTGCAACCCTAAGCAAATCATCTGCAAAACCATTAGAAGGATTTGGTTTCTTCAAATTCTGAAAGCATTCACAGGTTTTTTAATGGGAGAAGGGAGGAACCTCATAGAGGGTTCAACAAAATAAGAGCATTAAAGAGCACCATGGTGGATTTTGAAGGGGGCTGTGGGCAGTTATCCACCTCAGAAATACTTATTCAACAATGGGTATCAGGGTCAAATGATTTATACATGCCCCAAATCCCATTAACACAGACCTTATATATTGGAAAATTCCCTTTTGTAGATATAATCAAATAACAGTAAATAATCAACAAAGAAAAAGAGCAAGGATTAAACTCATTCATCACTAACTAGCACATCTGTAGCAAATCCAGAGGGAAAAAAAAAAGGGAGGGAAAACAACCATCTTTATCATCTTGTATGTGTTCCTAATTTATTGCTGTGCACATAAAGATGAGTTTCAGTATTATAGTTGGAAATAGAGAGAAATGACAAAGCAGAGAGCAACATTTTCCTCATTTTGCAACAGTTCTGAAGCTTGTCAGGGGCTCAGGATGGGACTGAAGGTGCAGCCTAGCCTGTGCAGCCCCTCAGTGCTCCAGCCAGAGCTCGTGGGGTGAGCTCTACCTCTTGCTAATTTTGAGGTCTGCCAGTGTTCTGGCAGAGGATTTTGTCCTCTCTGCATGACTTTGTACGATGCACCCCAGCAGCAGCCAGCTCCCAGAAGCCCAGCCTGTCCCAGAGTGCCCCAAGGGCTGCAGGAGAGGAGAGGCTGAGAGGAGGCTCCTTGCTCAGAACACAGGGGTTTGAGCTCGGCCTTGTGCCACCTGCACGTGGACAAAGGGGCTCGCCTGAAACAGAGAGGACTGAGGGTTTGCACAACAGCCCCAAATGTCATTTCATCAACCTGCACTCTTGTAAAATCCAGTACAGCTCATTTGGTTCTGGATATTTCTTCCTAGAACTAAATTTTACTGCTGTAACAGTTTTGATCTGCTTGCTCACAGTGAAATCTCTCTTTATTAGGACTTCAGCATTTGTTTGTTGCTTTGCTAACCATCCCCTCTTAAGTATGGCAGTGCTTTTAAATAACTAGACCTGTAGCCATCCCAGTAAAGGAACTAGGAATGCTTTATGGAGCAAAACATTGTTTTCATTGTGTTTTTCCAATTACTTTGTAATTCATAAGGTTCAGTAGCTCACAATGGGTCTCCCAGCTGTTATTGCAAATTTGCACTGTTCTGCTGTAGGTAAATTACAGGATAGAGAACTCCAGCAAGAAAAGAAGCTCCTTTACTTTCTGCCAAGCCTTTCTCCCCCTTGACTTTCTCCTGCCTCTCTGTGTTCTCTTTGCTCTGCTCTGGCTCCAAGGAATGATTTTCTGGGTACTGCTGGTGGATGCTTCAGAGAACTTCCTGGAAAATCAGGGAGATGGGACTGGAAACACTTTCTGATCTGTGAGAGTCCTTTTCAGCTGTTAGGGGGAACAGCCCCACAAGTTCCTAAGGCTCTTCAGGGAATAGCTACTTCTACTCAGCTGCCTGGAGCAGGAAAGGGGTCTGGCATCCCTGTGTCTGTCCTGTGCTGTGTTTAGCAGGGGCAGCTGGGATAATGTTTTTATTCTTCCTGGGAAACTGTGGACCTTGAGGAGAAGCAAGCCTGTTCATCTTCTTTTTCTCCTTCTTTTTTTCTCTGTGCTCTGCTTTACCTCTTCCTCTGCCCTGTCCTTTTCTCTTCCCATCTTCTCTGAGCTGTGTGTGCTTTTTAAACCCCTCCTGCTGCTGCTCTGATTGTTACAGCAACAAACAATGGCCCTGTGGAGAGATCAGCAGGAGCCACTTTATCTGCTGAGGGGAGATTACCACAGTATAGCAAGGAAGGAAAAGTTTATCTGAGGAGCAAACAGTAAACAACCACTTTGCAAACCACCTCAGGGCTGCTGAAACCCCTGAGACCCCTCTCTATACCTCAGGCAGAGCACACTTTGATGAGTTCAGGTTCAAAGGACAGATCTGGACTTTGCTTCTCCACACTCTGTGTGTCTGTCCATCCCTCCTGAAAGCTTCTGGCACTGTCAGACAGTTTCAGCAGTTGGATAGAGGGATGGTGGCTTACAGACCTGATTTCTGTCAGATTCACAGCCACAGATGGGCAGTGAAATCTCTGCTGCCTGAGGGGAGGAGAAGATGCCATAGGGCCAGGTCTCCCTTGATGCTGGAGGGTCCAGCTGGATTTTGGGAGTGCCCCAGGCACAGAGAAAGCTCCCACTGAAGTTTGTGCCTTCCCAGACCTGAGGGAATTTTGTAGAGCTCCAGATATGGATGACAGGGCTATTCTGTGTTCTAGTGTAAGTTCCCAAAGACTGCACAGTGTTGGTGAAATCAGTAAAAATTGCCATGAGGCTTCACTGGCCAGTGCAGAGGTACCATGGAGGGAATGGATGGGAGGGAGATGCCAGCTCAGCAGCAAGAAGGGAGACTTTGAACAGGAGTGAGGGCAGCACTGGAACATGGCAGTGGAACATTTAACATTGATAGGGAAGAGCACTAATGAATGGCTGGGGTCCCAGTGAGGGTGGCTCAAGGCTCTGAGGTGCAGCAGGGGGTTTATATCCCAGCAGGACATGTCAGAAGAGAATGGGAATACTTTTTCTGTTTCATCATTTTTCTCAGGAAAAAACAGAGGTTAAGGGAATGCTGAAATCCTCAGAGGAAGTTGGAAAAGCATTTATTGTCTCCAAAACACGAAAAGAAAGATTATCAGATGAAAACTGATCTATTTCACCTACTTGCATCTTGAATGTCTAGAATTTAAAAAACCTTATCTAAGAGAGTGGCTCTCCCTTGATTGCTTCTAGTCCTGCTCACTACCAAAGATTAAATCTTTACAGACTTGGGCTGGAAACTTGACCAGAAACTGCTGGTGAGCCAAAATAAAAATGGGGGAAGCTGAGTAAACATAAACTAACTGTGTTAAGTGTCTGTCTCTGAAGGGTCATAAAATCCACTTTGAAAGCTCAGCTGTAAGTTTAAGCATCAGGGTAGCTTTAAGTAACTCACCTATTTTACAGGTGTTTTAAAGCAGCCTGGAAAAGAAGAGGAGGATTGCTCATGTTGCTGAAGGTCCCCTGGACAGGACACACTGTCTCTCTCCTGTGCAGGGATGTGCCATGAGCACCACAGCAACCTGCTGCTTCCAGCCTGTGCAAGAACTGATGGATAACACAAGAGAGGAGTCCCTGTGAGTGAGCCAAGGACTCTGTTACCACTGTCTTTTATATTTACAGAAACATGACATTCTGAGCAAAGAATGAGGCTCACGTGGGAGCCCTTTCTTTCTCCCCCTTAGATTTTCAGTTCTCATTTATTCTTCAGTCCTTAGAGAGGGATCTGTGTGTTTACTGGAAAAACTCTGGCTCTTAATCAGAACAGCTCAGCTAGTGACAGTGAATTTAATAGCTGTACCCATGAGATGTCGTGGTTATTTATTACAGGCTCACTGATAGCAAAATGTTTGGATAACAGTAATAATAATTAGAGGCACTTAATCCCTTTTTGTTGTAGTAACTGCTCAGGGCTGCATGCTCCAGGATGTGAACAATTGTTCATATTGCATGAGGCTGAGTTTTAATACCTTTCTGGGTGAACCATATTTATTTCAAGATAATACAGCTTTTCACTCAGCAATTGCACTGATTATCTCAAGCATATGCCACATACTGTCATCCCAAAAGGTTAAGTCTTGACTCCTACTTATTCTCCCCCCAGGGGATGTCAGCATTGAGATGCAGGATTTCAGGAGAGTCTGCTCCCCAGCAAGATGCTTAAATCCCTCTGCAGAGCTGGAAAATCCACAGTTATTATGGGTTCCCAAGGGCCAGATCCTGAGATGTGAAGGTGTTTTTTGGGGTAGGGCTGTTTGAGAGGAGGCTGTCACCCCTGCTGGGTGGCAGCCCAGGCTCTAGCTCACTACAAGGCATTGCAAGCAGCTGCCTGCTAATGACAATTCTGATTTATTTGAACATCTTTCCAGACCAGTTCTGGGGCTGTACAGACCTCAGATAATTCACATGTGCATGTGTAGGGCTGCATGAACCAGCCCAGTGGGTGCTGTCCAGGGGTGTCAATGCATCCCTTTGGAGCACAGCCCACCCCAGAGTGTATTCTGCAGTCCTGACACAGCACATGGAGGTGATGAGGATGTGTAAACCTGTGTCCATCTGCTGAGAAGGAATTTAAGTGTGGCTGTAGAGCCTCTAAGTTGAGGGTGACACTGCTGTTGGGAAGACAGACTAGTCATCATCAGTGTGTTGGTTGTAGCAGCATTTGGCTGCTAGCACATCAAAAGATACTGTATACTGAGCATAATCAAATATCTAATTACAAATATTCAATAAATTAAGACTTTCCAATGATAGCTTATTTCCCTAAAAGAAGGCCCTGAGATAAAAAAAAATTATCCTGATACAGAAAATGTACCATGCTTATCAAAACACTATTGAAACCATTCCTTACCCTTTCAGTAAAATGTAGTCTACAGAACACACCATATTTTTCCTTTTCTCCATTTTAGCACTGACAGGTGGATAATAGAAATGTTCTGGACAGTCAGAGAGCTGCTGGAGATGACATATGAGAAGGTGAGTGAGCAGCTCTGTTCCTTCATGACAGATCTCCTCTGCAGGACCAAGAGGCAGATTTCAACTCCCTGCTGAAGGGTCCTGGCCAGGAAAGCTATTTGAGAGTATCTACTGCTCAGTATTCAGCACATCAGCAAACCTAGTTTTTCCTATTCATTCTGGAAGAAGGAGAAGGACTGCTCCACACTGCCCTGGGTTTGCAGGTTTCTATCTGTTCAGGGCCAAAGTGACATCAAACTCTGTCTGTCAAGTTTGTTTTTGTGAGTTGTCTGAGCACAGGCAGTTCTTTGGTGAAATTACTGCTTTTCAGCTGTTTGTTTCAAGTCTCACTTTCAAAATTCACCTATTTTTCCAGAAAATCACTGCTGGAGTACATTTGAGGAGGGCCTAGCTTCTAGCTATCTGTGTAACTGGTGAGATCAAAGAACTTTTACATGTGCTTGCTTTTAAACTTCACTGAATCCAGAGCTGGGCAGGGGGAGGCAAGGAGAAGAAGAGGCAACTCTGGAAGACTGAGGCAGTGCTGGAAAAGTGTTCCCAGATATCTTCCCAAAGAGCAAAATCTGAGAGTGTGGCTGTTTGCTGCTCCTGGAAAAGCTCCCTGTGTGTCCAGCCACATGCAGACCTTAACTCATCACCTGACCATGGATCACCAAGGTGAGATTTCCTCTGTTTCAGCATTGGGAACATGCCTAGAAACACACAACATGTTTTTTGTCTAAAGCCTGGGCATAAACCCTTATCCTAAACGTGGTTAAAAGTGGCTTAGGAAGGTTTTTCACACACTGGCAATGCCCTGGGCAGTAACCTGGCCCAGGCTGTGCCCAGTCACCAGTCAGGGCTGGGGGGCTGCAGGAGCATGGGGCACTGGCTGGGCCCAGATCAGCTCTGCAGCTTGGCATAGCATCCTCCCTGGAAGGTGTGGAAGAGGTTTGGAGAGGCTGCAGAGCCTGCAGTGCAGTGTGGTGGTGTTTACAGGGGTCCCAGGACGAGGGAAGAGATGAGAATCTTGACTCCATGTTTCAGAAGGCTGATTTATTATTTTATGATATATATATTATATTAAAAGAAAATTATATACTAAAACTATACTAAAAGAATAGAAGAAAGGATTTCATCAGAAGGCTTGAAAGGAAAGGAATGGAATGATAATAAAATCTTGTGACTGACCAGACAGTCCAAGACAGCTGGACTGTGATTGGCCATTAATTAGAAACAACCACATGAGCCCAATCACAGATCCACCTGTTGCATTCCACAGCAGCAGATAATCATTGCTTACATTTTGTTCCTGAAGCCTCTCAGCTTCTCAGGAAAAAATCCTGGCAAGAGGATTTTTCATAAAATATCATGGCTGCAGTGCAGGGAAGTGGGGAGGGACACAGAGCTCTTGGGTGGTGCCTGTGCCCACAGGGAGCTGTGCCTGTGCCCTTGAGTCCAGGGGTGCCCATGCAGAGCCCCAGGTGTGGGCACAAAGCTCTGGCTCTTTGTGGCACTGGGGTACACCTGATTTACCTGACCATGCAGGGGGCACCAGGCCATGTGTTTATGGCTGTTGCTACTTCTGTTGGAAAAGCAGAACTGTCGTGTCTCATTTGGGCAATGCCTTGCAAGCCTCAAATTGTACATGAAATCCATGGTGCAAAGCAGTTCAAAATTCTGTGCTTGAGTTTATCCTGTGCCCTAGAAACTGTTAAACCTTTTCATGTAGGGGCAGGAGGTTAGCATATCCGCAGAGAGAGGGAGACTGCTGCTGGTTTAGCAATAGATTAGTTGATGTAAAAAGCTAAAGGTCTTCTCTGTGTGTTTTAACCTCCTAAAGCCAGTTGGAAGTTGGGATATCTAATCTAAAGGAACTGGAAGAAGTGTTTAATAGCCCAAAGACAAGGGTCAAAATGCAAAACCTCCAGCATTTATGTTGTTCCAAAGGAGATGGGAAAAAATCAGATTCCCCAGTGCCAGCAAACAAATGTGGAGGATAACAGAATGTGCTGTGTGGGAGTGGAAATTCTGTGCCCCAGCTACAGGGCAGAGGGTTTTACTTACAACTGATGTGTCCAAGAAAGAGAAATTAGGGGACTTCTATGTTTTGGGTCCAGTAAATGCTAAGGAAATGTATTTACCTAATGCATCTCTGTTACAAAATCAGTCCCAATGCTGTTTTCAGCTGTAGACAATGGGTTGTGCACAATTATGATCTGTTAAAACAAGACTCAAAGCAGGATCTTTGATGCTTTCTGATCTATCCCCACCAGGCTGGAAAGGGCAAAGCAGCTGCAGTTGGGTGCAGACATTTGGGCAACCTGTGTACCTTTAGCTTTCAATATGTTGATTCTGGGGCTTTTTAAAAAAAACTTGTTTTTTTGTTTTTTTGTTTTTTTTGAGCATTCCCCCTTCATCAGTTCTGTGTTGGCAGATGGGAAAGGAATGAGAATTCTTCTGGCTGCATATGTTTCACCTAACAGTGGATATTTGGTACCACCCAAGGTTTTCTCCAAATCTAAACTAGGTTAGTCCTGTACCTCCTGAGCAGACAGGCTGTCTCAGCACAGTAAAGTCTGAACTTGTCATATTTGATAAGACCTGAGCTTGTTGCAGTATGAAGTAAAATTTAATGAGGAGGAAGTGTTACTTTCCAACCAAATGGGGTCACTTTTCCTTTGTTGAGCATAATCCTTTATTATACCAGCAGATTATGGTACAAAGTCCATTTAATTTCCCACACATAATGAAGACAAGCACTCATGACAACTTGTAATCGCTCTTTGGCAAGTAAATATTTAATTTTTGAATGAATATGATTGTTGTTAGAAGATACAGAATTATTCCCTGGGTGTTATAACAAAATTAAAGAAGCACAACCATGGTGGATTTGTACAATGCATTTGTAAGTGCAGCAAGAAAGGGGAAAAATAAAAATTTCACTAGGAAGAGGCAATGTTTTACACAATTCCTGTGAAAAAGGTGAGCCCATGTATGGGATGAACTCTATGAAGAATCTGGGCACAGGAGGTTGAGATTTGTGAACATTCACTCCATGGCTTATATCAGCATTTGCAAAAGCTGCAATGAATATTTCCCCTTGAAATCAAAGGAATTATCAAGGGTGCAGATGTAGAATTTCATTGAGATATTCTATACGGTCATTACAATACACCCAAGTTTTGAAGCATCTAGATCTCAGGATGCCCTATGAGCAGAATAGAGTGATATAGCTCACTGCATCTGCAGAAGGTCTCATGAAATGCAAAATAAATAGCTGAAAGAAATATTCTTACTAGGGGAAAAATGAGGCTTCAATGTGTGTCATAAATTTAGCTAACAGAATCCTGAACAGGGATAGTGGTTATGGATTCCAACACCACCCCCACCTCCGCTCCAGCAGCAACTAAATCTTCCTTCCTTTTCAGCAAAGTCCTCTCAAAACAACCCCATTCCAGCAGTGATGCTGACATCCTGATCCTGCTGCTGTGCAGGAGCATTCTCAAGGTCACTGTGGTCTCTAAAAACTCTTGGTGATGTCAGTTGGCATTTGGGGGTTGAGAATGTGATGCTGCTGTGAACCACCACGGCACGAGGGAGACAGGCTGAATGCACAGGATATGCCATTGCTCTTTTTTGTGAAGGCACACAAAATGTGGCACCAAGCCTTCTAGGTCCATTTCCAGTGACAGGCAAAAACCTTGGGAATCCTCAGGAGCAGGATAATGAGAACCTCATGACATTCAGTGAGGTAAAACACAGCCAGTCCTGCCCTGGGGACACATCAGCCCCATGGGCTGGGGACTGACAGCTCAGGGAGCTCTGCAGAGAGGACCTGGGGCACTGCAGGTGTATTTGAGGTGGTGACACCTGCCTGTCACTTGTTTTGGGCTGTTCAGGTGTGGCCACAGGTCAGACACTGCACTCAGCACTGTGAGGTTGAAGCTCCAGGTGGACACCGTGGGTTTGGTGTGTCCCAGGGCCACAGAGAGGTGACCAAAGTGGACATCATGGGTTTGGTGTGTCCCTGGGCTGCAGAGAGGTGACCAAAGTGGACACAGTGGGTTTGGTGTGTCCCAGGGCCACAGAGAGGTGACCAAAGTGGACACCGTGGGTTTGGTGTGTCCCAGGGCCACAGAGAGGTGACCAAAGTGGACACCATGGGTTTGGTGTGTCCCTGGGCCACTGAGAGGTGAGCAAAGGTGGACACCATGCGTTTGGTGTGTCCCTGGGCCACAGAGAGGTGACCAAAGTGGACACAGTGGGTTTGGTGTGTCCCAGGGCCACAGAGAGGTGACCAAAGGTGGACACCACGGGTTTGGTGTGTCCCTGGGCCACAGAGAGGTGACCAAAGTGGACACCATGGGTTTGATGTGTCCCTGGGCCACAGAGAGGTGACCAAAGGTGGACACAGTGGGTTTGGTGTGTCCCTGGGCCACAGAGAGGTGACCAAAGGTGGACACCATGGGTTTGGTGTGTCCCTGGGCCACAGAGAGGTGAACAAAGTGGACACCATGGGTTTGATGTGTCCCTGGGCCACAGAGAGGTCACCAAGGGGAGCAAGTCCAGCAGAAAGTCAATGGGTGCTCAGGAGAGTGCAGCACGTGGTGTTTCAGGAAAGGCTCTGAGAGCTGGGTTTGTGTACCCTGGAGGAGATAAGGGGGCATCTAATCACTGTCTACCATTAATGGAAAGGGACAGGATGGATTCAGACTGTCACAGTGTGCTGCACAAAGACAAGGCAGTGATCATGCACTCCAGCAAGGGAAGTTCCTTCTGTTTGTATATGAGAAAAGTCCTCAGAATAAGGGTTATGCAGCACAGGAACCATATTGGGGAGGCTGTGGGCTCTCCATCCCTGAGATTTATCAGAAGAGAACAGGAAAGGCCCTCAACAACCTCCCTTAGCATAGAAGTAGTCCAAGCTTTAAATGGGAGGCTGAACTGGAAGCTTTCATAGGTCCCTTCTCACCTCAGTTATCCTCTGATTCTCTGAATTTATTTCAGGAAGCTGCTAATACCTGTGAAATTTGGTCCTACCATGAAAAACTGGTTGTTAGTATGGCACTCCATCCTTCAGTAAATATGTTCCATGTGGATATTTATAGTCCTGCCTGCTCCCTTCAGTGAGAACAGGACGTTCTTCCTCCCATGAGCTCTGTACAGCTGCCAGGAGAGATGGTGGAAGCCTTTCCTCCCCTCACCTACTGTGGATGTTCATTGGTTTCATTTCCACAGCCCCTGCAATACCCAAGGATCTGTGTAAGTGTTTGAAAGGATCTAATTTAAAAAGATAACTGTCTCTTCTAGGCAGTGCTGGTATCCGTGGGTGAGTTTGATTGGCTTGCAGACCATGTGTTAATTTTGGGGACAAGAATAAAAAGAGGAAAAAGCCAGTTCCCATCTGCTCACTGAGCTGCTCCTATCCTTGGGGACACACAGCTCGTGTCCTGGAGCTCTCTAACAGTGCTGTGGGGTGGTTCCAGGCAGATGTGGGGTGATTGCTCCCCTCCCTCTCCCTGCCCTTCCTGGTATCCCTGTGTCCATCCTGGAGCAGTGCCCAGGCCACCCTTGGAGCCCCCTTGGGGCTGAAATAAAAGGGAATTGCTTGGACACCAAAAGCTTCCATCAGGTGCACCTGGTATTTGTGAGAACTGTTCCCTGATGATGGGTCTGGTACAGAGCAACAGGAAATTCTCAGGAAGGTTGGATTTCAATGGGGATGACTCTTTTTCCCTGCCAGCTGTTTCTCTCTTAGCTGTGTTCTCTCTAATGAAATTGCCCATTCAGCGCTGGGTTTGTAATTTAAACTGAGTGCTATAGATTAACAGTTGTTGCTGCTTTATTATTGAAATGAGAGTCATGAGATCAATTTAACTGTTCCTGGCTTCATTATTTGCTTAAGACAATAGACTTATCTCTGCAAATTCTATTGCTTTGTGGGTATTTTTAGCTTAATTATCATAGATATTAGCAACAATCAACAAAGATTTCTTAGGTGCAAGTGCTTGCTCCTTGGAACACTAGTTTTTTATAGATTTTGTACTTTTACCTTGTCTTCCTCTTTTGTAGTCAATCCAGTCTGCTCTCAGAAAAAAGCAACCAAACAGGAGCAACAAGCAAAAGGAAAACAATCCAACTCACTTTGCAAAGACTTAAATGTTTTCTCAGTAGTTTATTTTCAGAATTAAATGAATAGTGAAGGTTGTGTCTTCTGTTGTACATGTAGTTAAATATTCTGGCAATTGAGCCTGTGTAGGTACAATGGGCACTACAGCTGTTTTGGAGGGGAGGGGTATTTGAAATCATTCAGGATAAATTAAAAGCTTACTTTGACATGAGCTTTCAGTAAGGCCTGCCTGATTCCAGGTTTCCCTTGCTTAGCAGAGTACCAAAAGCCAAAGCCAGGCCTTTGCCCCAGGGTTTGTGGAGCAGCAGGTTTGTCCCTCCCAGCCTGGCCAAGCAGTGCCACAGGTCCCCAGGCAGAGGCTGGTGCCTCCAGAGAAGGGAAGCAGAGTTAGGTTCATTCCAGCTGGATTGGCATAGAAACAGAGCCTCTGGTATTGCCAACAAAGTTTAAAACATATATTTCAGTGTAACTTCCTAGACTCCTAAATCCTTCACTCCCCTATAACAGGATTCATGTCCCCCAGCTGGCTTAGAGCAGGGGGAGGAGGTGTCAGGGAATGTGCTCTTGGTCCCCTGAATGCACAGAGCTTTGGATCCTGGCATGAGTTAAAGGTTCTTGGACAATTTTATGTGGAACGTGTAAACAAAAGTCTGTCTGGTGGGTTGAAGGATAGCTGGATATCCCAGCAGAGCAAAGAAACCCATCTGCAGTGTTGTTTACACCACCTCTTCCATTTAAAATATAGCAGGAAAAAGTCTTATTAACATTTCTGAAGGGTGTTAGTGAAAGGACTAGACAGCTTCCTGCATTTGAAGTGTCAAAAAAGCAATAAAGCAATTTTAATATCTAGTTTCATATAAATATGTTTATCTTCCAGTCAACATTTTACTAACCATTTAGATTATTTCTAGATACATTAACCATAATTGTTGAAAACCTCTTAGACTGCTTTCAAACTGCATCCCTCACAATATTCTAAGATTTTTTTTTAAATAAGCAGAATTATCCTTATGTCACAAGATTTGGACCTCATCCTCTCTCTGTATTTCCTGCTTTTCCCCTTCTCCCCAAACAGGTGAGACAGTATGAAAGCAGGGCAAATTTTATATCCATTTTAACAGATGACAGACTAGTAAAATCTGGTGGAGATTCTGTGGGGGCTCTGGGGCTCTGTTCTAGATTGCACCTCAAATCTTGTGGTTGGATATTCTGCTGCATTCAGGCTAAAGTATTTTGCCCAAGGATGCAAAGAATAATTAAAAATCATTACACAAAATCGGGTTCAATGCCACTTCCATTGGAGTGTGCTCTTAATTGCTTTACTTTTAACATATTGGTTCAGAATTTGGATATCCTTCTGGATAGGTGAGCTTTGGCATGGTCCTTGTCAAATGAAGCTTTCCTGGCTGAATTTGTGATGTCCAGAGGTCACTCACAGGCAGGAGGAAACGTATATGTGTGGCTTTTTGCTTGATTGGTTTCTGTGCAGGTGAGACAGAGCCAGATTGCATCCATGAGCCAAACACTGGGCTTGGTGTCTAATCCCAAGAATCCAGAGGGATGCAGGTGGGAGCTGGGGCCCAGCAGTGGTGGCTGTGCCCACATCTGGATGCCGAGCAGCCGTGGTGGCTGTGCCCACATCTGGATGCTGAGCAGCAGTGGTGGCTGTGCCCACATCTGGATGCTGAGCAGCAGTGGTGGCTGTGCCCACATCTGGATGCCGAGCAGCCGTGGTGGCTGTGCCCACATCTGGATGCTGAGCAGCAGTGGTGGCTGTGCCCACATCTGGATGCTGAGCAGCAGTGGTGGCTGTGCCCACATCTGGATGCTGAGCAGCAGTGGTGGCTGTCCCCTTCCCCTGGCATGGCCCCACACACAGCTCCTCTGCAGGCTGCCACCTCTGCTTTTCACACTCTCCATCATTTTGCCTGCAGTAGAGAGGCTCTCTTCTTGAAAATAACAACAACCAAGATTTAATGAGGAGATTTAGCTTTCCTTTGATAAGACCATGGCTGTAATAGAGTTTGCCTGCCTGAATAGTCCCATGGCACAGGCAGAAATTCCAATATTTCCTTCTTTAGCATTATTTGACCAACTAAAAATTCAAGCCAAGGATTCCTTGCATTGAGAGAATACAAATGGGTTTTTTCTCAATATCAGAACAAAGAGATGCACACATAACTGTAGGTGGTATGGAAATGAGTGTTTGTGACTCTATAACAGCAGGATATAAATTGCTCCCAAATGATTGTTATTTTTTTTTGCCATGCCAGTTTAGCATCTCTCCCAATTCTGAGAGATGCTAAAGGGGACTTTTCAAGCAGAAGCTTCCAGTGAGACCGTGGGGTCTGCAGAAAATAACTGCAGACCAGAACAATTGAAAAAATATGTATTTTAGTAAATCCTGCTGCATGGAACAAGTGCTGCAGTGAGCTAACATTCACCCCACCTGAGGTGGCTCTGCAATTCACACCACCCCTGTACAGAATGCCCTTGTGTCTCCCAAATCTTCTGTCCCCATCTCCTGGCATGCTGTTCCTTGGCTGTGCTGGCCTTGGTTGCTGCCCTTCAGTCTCACCTTGGAGCAGATTAGTAGAAACTTTCAGTGTGTGTCCACTGTGCATCTCTCCTTCCTTCAGTTGTTTTGTTGTAGCCATGATTTTGCTTCTTGACATAAATATCCTGCAAGTTACTAACCTGTCTTCCACCATCTGAAGGCAGATTTTTCATCTAGACCCTCTGGGGATGTCTAAAAGGAGTTCCAAAGGTTCTGTGTGCTGGGGGAAGGTGGCTCTGTGCACGTCACAGGATTTTTGGGAGCAGCACTAACTCATTCACACCTTGGTCAAATTAGCATTGACTAAGGAGGTGACAGAAACAAAAGATTTTCTCTTACAGCCATAATTCAAACTCTGACACTCACTGATTTGGATAAAAAGCTTTGGTTTTGTAGTAAATGCTCTTCTGCAAGAACCCACTGTTCAACAAGGTAAACACTGATTTAGAGCTCTAAATTCAGTCCATGGTCTGAGCTTAAAGCAAGTAATTTCTGTACTATTAATTTGATTTCTTGTGCCATGAGTACAGACCCCTCTTAAGTCCTTACTGTAATTTCTCTCAGGTTATATCTCACATGGGGGGGGGGGATTGAATACTACATTTTTATACAGAACATAGATTAGGACTGTACAATGAGATATGTTGATGCCACTGTGTGATAATATTTGATCTATGTGGATATTTTTGTTCTTTTTGTGGTGCATGCATTGTGTGAACTGGAATAGAGCCTTGCAGCAAGAACCTGACTTGCAGTCCTGTCCCACACAGCCAGAAACCACAGCCAGGGGGAAAATTGTGCTCTTTGCACCCAGCAAAGTCAGGCTGCAAGAGGGGACACACATTGGGTCCTAACTCAGCTGGCCCCAGTGGAGCAATGGAGAACTTGGAGAACATTAAAGAGTGTTTGCCTCTTGTTAGCAATCCCTTAGTGCACACCCTGCTCCATCCTTACTCACAGTCTGCTCTGGTTGTGTTGGGACAGGAGATTTTCCATGTAATTAGCTGAGGCAGAAGGAGAAGAGGATGCCTACTGGTAATTTGAGTGCAGCTACAATGAGATTAACAGTGTGGGACAGCTGGGGTGGAAAGCCAGGTATGATTATTTTCCATTAGCCAAGCATTCCTCTTCCCTGATGAGAGTGGCTATTGCATGGCTCCTGCCAGATCCAAGGAAAACACATCTGTCCTCTTTGTCCAGGCAGTTTGTAATGTGCTCTGGGATTTTCTGAGGTGAGAAGAGTGTTTGTCACTGCTGTTCAGCTGAGAAATGTTTTAGGAAACAATTACCATCTGCCTACTGCCTGAAGAGCAAGAAAACCAATAAGTTCTGGTAAGGTAATGACCACAAATTCAGGTCACAGGTTTTCAATCAAACCTTGATTGAGATGAGGAAACCATGAGGGACCATTTAACATGACAGTAACTCCAATTACAGCAGCATCAATATCTAGCTGAAGTCAATGGCTCTTCTATTTCCCTCCTGTAGCAGCATCCTCACCAAGATGATCTCTGCTCCCTCAGCTTTCCTGCAGTGAGGATCCTTTGTCCCCAGTGATTCATGGATGGGACAGTGTTCTGTGGGACAGAAGTTTTCCTCCTGTGATTTATCATCCTAAACCATTGCCAATTGCTGCAGTCTCAAGGCTCCTTCTGCAAGGACAAAGGACTCAGCCTTTGGTCTCACAAATACATTTGCTCACTGGAACTGGGTTATTATCCCATAAAACCTTTCATCCTGTTAATGAAGGGAGCATGAAGCATGTCAAATAGACAGTAATTGATATAAGCTGAATGCTGCAGCCTGGCCTGATAGGGAACGTTCCAGCCCACTTTATTTTCACAACTATCATCCTAAAAAATATTTATGGATGGGTGGATTTTCCTACTCTTCCTAAGGCTGAGAAGTAGGTGGCTGGTACAATCCTACCCATTTGTTTTCAAATAACTATTCATCATTGGATGGCTTTCTCAAAGGGATATAGAAACATCCTTTGCTCAGGATGGCAGAGAAAGCCAAGAAAATAATAGCATGTTTGTTTTTGCCTGGCTCATTTATTGCTTACAGTTTGTGCATTTAGGAAGACAAGGTGAATTTAAATGCAAAGCAGCAGAGAAATCCACTGAGGGGAAGATAAAAGAGTCTGAAGCCATTACAGACAAGTGGAATAATTGATGGTAGGAATCTGAAAAGAAAGTGCATAGGAGACTTAATGACATCTTGTCTTATTTTTGGGATGGTCATTTTCAATTGCCAACACTTGAGTATGGCTGGAATAGGGTACAACCATGCAGCCTCTGCTTATCAGGAGAGAAGAATTCCAGAGGCTCAGAGCCCTGAGAGCTCAGAGCAGCCCCAGCCCTGTGCTTGCTGCTCTGCTTCTGACCTCAGAGAATGCTCTGTGCAGAAAGCTTGGGTCTTCTCAGGGTGCTGTGTGCTCATCTGATCTTCCACACGCTGAAAAACAAAAGAAATGGGGATGAGAAAAGCCAGGTGGTTCTCCAAGTTTCTAATTTAGAGCCCCATGCCAGCACCAAATGCCATCTCCAGCACTCTGGCCACTCACTATCCAGCAGTAGCTACTTACACATTGCAGGGAAGTTATTCCTACAAGCTGATTATGAGAACAGATCAGTGCACTGGGGGTGTTAAAATGGGTGTGGTTACTGTGCTTTACCAGTGCAGGAGGTCTGGTCCTCTGACCTGAGCTCTCTGGGTGCCTTGAGGTTAATACCTCTGATTTCACTGTGGTGGAAAAGTACAGCAGCAACAGTTTTAGAACTACCCCAAGTGACAAAGAGTTGTTGTGCATTGCAAAACTTTCTGTTGCAGGTCATAAAGCTCAAGTGGAGAAATGCTTTCTCAGGTGATTGTTCACTTTTTGCTGCTAATTTTCAATATTAAGAATCGTCTTGGCTGTGGTTAATGTTGAGTGATGTGCTGGTCCATCCAATGGGATAAGATGCAAGAGGTTCAATGACTTGGAGTGAGCTGAAAAAATGAAGGGAAAGAGCTGAACCAACCAGAACTTTATAAATTCACCTTATGATAATGAATACCTGCTCCCTTCCTTCTCAGAGGAATCAATTCCATTTTTCCATCCCGAGGGGCAAAGAAAATGCCAGTCCAATAGACTGTTAGTGTGGGTTGGCTGAAGCTGCAAAGAAAGAAAAATTGTCCAAGTGTCCATGTGAGAGCAAGAGCAGCTCCCATTCTGCATCACAATGGCAGTAGAAAATGCCCAGCAATTCTGCAGCAGGTTACAGGGTCACATCTCTCATTACTGTGGGCTATGCAGAAGGCAGAGTACATAACTACACATACCACAGTCCTGTTTGCCTCTCAAAATACTCCTTTCATTGCCTTTTTCTTCCTTTATTTTTAATAGCAATGGAATATGCTAAACTGCAAATGCTGGTGCTTGCTGTATTTTTCCTCATCCCTGGAGTTATATATTCATTTCCATCCTGTAAAAATAACCTGTTTATTCCATTTCTAAGTCCTGCATGAGATGGTTCTCATTTTCCCTGTTCCCTGTGGTTTTATCACAAGTGCCTGCCCACCTGTGTGCTTTGTCTCAGCTACAGAGCTTTCCTTCTCCAGAAAGCTGCCAAGCAGTTCTCTCCAGCAGCAGAGAAATGATGGTCAGTGCACAAGTCTCTTTGTGTTGAATTAATTGCAAGCCTCCTTACTAATTTCAGGGAAAGCAGTAGAGTGTCCTAACTTCTCCTGGGTGATTTGGGAGCTCCTTTATTCCTCTGCTTGTCTCCAGTCAGTCGAAATAGATGATTGTATGCTCTGTGCTCCCACCTCCACACACCTCCTGCATCTCACCCACCCTGGTCCCTGCAGGCTGTGCCAGCCCAGCCCATCTGCTGAGGGGGCTGCAGCCCTCAGCAGGGACCAGCAGAGTTACAGCAGCCACCAGGCTGCTCACCAGTGCCAGGGGATGGGCAAGCACTGCTGTTCTACCAGAGCAGACTGAGCCTGGATGGCCAGAAAAATCCACTTTCCACTCAAGAATGCTCTGAAGCCCAGGGATATGTCATTAAGGGGTGCTGGGATTCTTTATAGGCTGGCCAAGCAAGTCTCAGCCCCATGGTGGCCATAAGTCTTGGAGCTGGAGGCTGGGCTGGCTGTGCCCACTTGGCAAGCTACCTGCTCTTCCATAGTTGTACAATTCTTTGGTTTCCAAAAATAAATGTAATTTTATTACCAGCTGCCTTATCATTGCTTTATTATTTTCCATTCAGAGCCTGCAAAATTGAATTACTGAGCATCCCCTAAATCTGCCACTCCTCACACAGCTCTGGTCTCTTCTGAACTCAACCAGAACCATCAGCTCTCAGGCAGGCATGTGCAGATGGATCCCTGGAGCATCTGTAGGACACATTTGTGAGTAATTACCTATCATCTAGAAGGTTACAGAGCAGCAGCTTAAGTGTGACCTGCCTTCTGCATTTATATCCAAGTCAGGACCAAGAAACATCTCTAGCAGATGGGAAAACTCTCCAGCCTCTCAAAGCTTCTCCAAGATGGATTATTTACTATCTAGCACCTCTCAGAGCAATGAGAGCTTATCCAACACAGTTTCTCCCAGGTCTGCTTATTCTGCCTTCTTTATTCCATAAGGATCCCAATGAAGGTTCATCAAAACACTGAATGAGACACTAGGCAGCAGAAGGGATTTTTTTATTTTTTACCTGTTTTGTGACCTATTTTTTATTTGTATGCTGCTAGGAAGTTGCATGCCTGGTTTTGACATGCTGTGTGTGCCACATACAGAAATGTTTCCTGAGCAGTTTATGCCAGAACCAGTCAGTCCCTGGGCTGTCTAACTCTGTGCTCATTCTGATTATTTGCTGCTCTCAGAGCAGGACTGTCCCACACAAGGCAGACAAGTGCCACAGCCACTCTGACCTGCAGGACAATGTTGGGGAGGGGCCTTAGGATCTGTTGGGACCCTCTCCATGAGCCTCACCAGGAGCTTCACACACATCTCAACAAATTTACTCTTCTATCTCTAATATCCTTTTTTATGCCAGAGAATGGAAATATCAGCTTAGCTTTGTTTGGCTTTGCTGGTTTGCAGATTCAATCTGGATGCTGATCTGAAATGTCCTTTAGTGTGGAAAACACAGCTGCTGTGAGCAGAGGAAATGATGTAACCAGCTGAGTGAGTTTGTGGAGTTTGAAGGGGCTCCTCTGGACAGAAAAGGTGTTTGTGGCTCCTGGGGCTGGACCTGCACACTGCTCACTGCCTGTGCCTTCACTCTCAGCTGGCCTCAATCCACACCTGCACTTTGTTCTTAGCTTCTCCCAGCTGCAAAGAAGTCACCCAGATGGAAATCACTTGTTTGGCTCTCTGTGAACAAAACCAAATCCCTCTGGGGAGTTTCCATCCAGCCATCTAAAAGCTTGGCACAAATTTGGAAGTACAGAGGAATTTCTTGAATTACAACTTTCTAACAACATTTTCCAAAACTCACAGGTTGAATTTGGCCTGAGCTTTAGAAAATATTCTGGCAAAAACTTGTTAGGTGCAAGCTGTTTCCCTTTCCTTTAAAGCAACATGAAAAAAAGAAGGAAAAGCTGAGTTTCAGTTCTACAAACAGTTCAGTGCTGGCTCAGTGGCTCCACTCCACTCCTCTGTTGCCTCTTCCCTTTCTACCTGGAGTGCCTTGAGACCACACATTCAGAGATTTTGGGAAAATTTAGGAAGAACAAGTGCTGTGGAAATCTTATCTCATTATTTTGGTTTGGTTTATTTCTTTAAATCAATCAAACAGTTAAAACAAACCATGCATGCATTTGCAACACCACAGTTAACCACATTTTAGGGATGGTGATATTCATGGGCAGCAAAACCTATAGGAAACATATGAAGTCTCTCCAACTGTAGCCCCTATTTTTTCCCTCATGTCACAAAGTCATTGATTCTTTAGAATTTCCCAAATGTTTCCAGAGTAAAAGCAATGCCTTGCAGTGGGTTTGACACTATTTTTGCCACGGTCAAAGTGAAAGCTCCCATTGTCAGAAGCAAAACCCTGGAGGGAATGTGCCAGCCAGGAGAGATTAAATGTTCTTTGTATTGTACAGCAAAAAGCGTTGTAAGGTTGATTACAATAAAAGCTTTCCAAAGTGGCAGCACTGGGTTTCTTCTCCTTTTTTCCTTCCTTTAAGCTGTTATAAAAAGAAATAACATTTCAGCAAAGTGAATGGCCATTCAGTGCTCAGGATAAAATGTACATTCCTTTTTCAGGGACAGACAGTGACCACTGCAGTCCCTGGGGCTGAGTCTCTGGCAGAAGGCTGTGCTGCTGCCTTGAAAATGGGAAAAATTACCTTCAACATACCCTGGTGTTGCTTTGAGGTTGGACAGGTTCATGTCAAACTTCCTAGTCTCTCCAGAAGGCAGTTTCATTAATGCCACAGCAATCTGATAGGGGTGACACGACTAATGGAGAGTGTCTATTTGTTTGTAATATGCCTGGTTTAAAGTCAGAACACTGAGAAACAGAAATAGTCCCAAATATACTCACTGCACTTTGGAAACCTTTCAGACACCTCCAAGCAGCTAGAATTTCTCAAAGCCCTGCTGAGCTCTTGTAAATCCTGTCCTGTCAGTGGGTGAGACCTTGTTTTCCTGGGACAGACCAGTGAGAGGGGATCCCAGCCTCTGCTGAGAGCATTCACAATGGTGCAGAAGTGCAGAAATGAGTGCCACAGATCACTTACACTTTTTCTCTTCAGTTGACTTCAAGAAATTAAGAAATTAAATGAAATTTACTTTTGTTTATTTTGGGAATTCAAAGTGAAAGTCAGAAAATGAAAACTGAAACAGTGTTCTGCCCTGTTGAAATGAAATACATGACCTGCAATTCCCAGCCATCACCAGCACACCTTGGGTTAATGCAGCTCTGTGCTTATCCAATTAGGAAAGAATGGGGCAACAAACAAGATCTCATCAAGCTGATAGGCCAGGAAATATTTGATCTGAATTTTCTCCACAGAAAACCATTCTAACTGATATGAAGGCATCCCTGTATTTGTGGTAACTGCATTTTCTGTGAGCAAATCATCCTGATAGAAATTTCCCAGCTATCTTTTCCAGGAATAATTGGGTCATGATAATGCAGTGCCTTGAAGAGAGCCTGGAAAGATTAGGCATGCTTGCTTTGAAAAGATTAGCCATGCTTGTTTGGGAAAGGAGGGGTCATGATAAAAATAATGACTGCTTTATCTAAACATCTCAGAAATCTGTAATTGTGGTTTTATACAAGGGTGGACAGATATTTGTTATTAAAATGACAAGTTCAAACTCATAAAAGGGAAGGGGAATTTTACAAGATTTGACACTATTCCATGATTTGCAAGACAAGAGAGAAGTGACAAAGGTGGCACTGAACATCTGCAAGTCTGGAGAGCAAATGTTCCCAAATGGAAAGGAATGAGACAAACCTCTGTGTGTGCAAATGCCATAAAGACCAAAATGCCCCAAAGCTGTGTGGGTTTAATACTATTTCTTTTTCAGATGGCTGAGCACCAACAAGTCCAGGCCCCACATAAACCCACCCAGTTCACAGACAGGGCAGGGGAGAGGCCATCTGGGTCATCCTCCTCCAAAGAAATCACTGATGCTCCTGATGTTTGTTCAGCCTGTCTGTCAGCAGGGCTCACACACACCTGTGAGCACTTCACCTTTCCATTGGAACCAGCCCCCTCCATTTGCCTGGTGTAATGAATCAGAATTGTGGTCATTGACTCTTGCATTAGTATAGACATCAAGGATGCTGGATAGGACAGGTTATTTCCTCCTTCTACTCCCACTAGGGACAAATCCATCCCCCAGATTTTTAGGTGTTCATTGAGCCCACCACCATTTGTAGCTGTCTGTAGATTTTTTCTTTTCTTGTTACCTTATATCATTATTGCCAGCCCCTAAACTAGACCAGCAATACACAAATATTTCTTTCACTTCACTAAAAGCACTTCAGGTTTGATCATCAGCTCAGGTGGCATCACTTTATGATCAAGGAGGTGAAAATCACCCTCTAGAGCCATGAATGTCTCAAGCTGGCTGTGGTGATGTGTCCCAGGTGAGGAGGGAAGGACGGGGAGGGGCCACAGGAGCAGGACTGAGCTCATGTGGAGCTCCTTAGGGAGCAATCAGGGCACTCAGCTGCTGTAGTGGACTCAGAAATGTCAGTTCTCCCTAACAGGAGCAGGACTGAGCTCATGTGGGGCTCCTAAGGGAGGGAATCAGGGCACTCTGCTGTTTAGGGGACTCAGAAATGTGAGTTCCCCCTAACAGGTGGGAGAAGCTGTTGCTGGTGAAGGCTCTGTAGTGTATTTAAGGAAGGCTGGTGGATGGAAGCTTGGCTCATTACCATGTGCTCAGGTGGGAGCACTCCCCCAGGCTGGCTGGGGGAAGCAATCCAGCCCCTAGATCTGCTCTGGAGCGTTTCTTTCTGACCTGTTGCCTTCATGTTGTCATCGTTTGCTGCTAATTACTCTCTTCGTGCTTCTGGGAGCTGCTGTGTGGGCTTGGCAGAGGAGGCAGACTCAATATTCATCCTTTATGAGTTATGTGGTGCCAGCCATGCTGGGGCAGAAGAACTGTTTGCAGAAGAAAACTGAAAACTTCTTGTTTTTTTTTTTCCCCTGAATATCACTTTAATGGTTTATGAATAATTGGAAAAAGAATTTGTGCTTGAACTTTTCCATCGTTGCCTCCCTGTGAATGAATCCAAGCTGCACACCTCTGCTGGACAAGTGCCAAGGTATGGATCTGTTTCTTACTGGAGCTCTGGCTGTGTTTCCTTTTTGATATTCTGGTGGAGCAAATAACAACATTTGCAATTCTCTTTCAATGCAGCAAAGTGTATCAGCAGTGTAGTTCTGCAGGTTTTCCTGGGTGGTGCAAAGTGTCTGATTCCCTGGGGAGGTGGTGTGGGTCTGGGATGGGATCCCTGCTGTACTTTTAAAACTGTAAATCTTGGCATTGTGTGTTTGTGGGATCCTGCTGGGTCTCTGCTGGAGGATGATTTTGCCAAGGTTCTGCTTTCAGGGCTGGGCAGGTCACAGAGTGTTCCTGTGTGTGTGACTGAGCAGTAAGTGGCCAGAAGCAGGGCTCACTTTGGGCTGCCTGTCTTTACCCTGTGGCCTGGTTCAGCTGCAGCTGTACTGATCACCAAAGATTAGGAACAGGCCTGCCCTAAACAGCCACAGCTGTGTCCAATGAGGGTGAGTGCTATAAAAGAGTGGGGTGGCTGGGTGAGGAGGGAGTTGGAGTTTGTTGGCTGGGCTGTGAAGAAGAAGGGGTCAGACCTGTGAGGAGATGCCCATGAGCAATCACCAAGAAGGTATGGGGGCTTTGCAGTAAGATGGCAACACTTCCTCTGGATCTGTGTGGGTGCCATCAGCACCCCAGGGCAGGGCCTCACCACCTCTCCTCAGCAAACCTCTGGTGTATTTTAATATGCATTTATTTTTCTTGTGCTGTTTCTGCTGAATCCAAAGGAAATGGTATCAATATGCAGCTTTCTAGAAGGAATCAATTATTGCTTTTCTGAGCAGCTCTCTCTCCCAGCATTGCTGGGAAGCTCTGGTTCCATGGTGTGATCTTTGTCCCATTGCACAGCCCTTGCTGTTTGCCATGATTTGTCTCAGAGCCTGCAGTGAAATGTGGCACACTGGGGGCTGGTGCTCCTACACTGCAGTGCAGTGTTTCTTTTGGCTATATGAGGATTTTAGCTGCAAATATGGGTATATGATATATTTGTGAAAGCATAACTACAGAATGTCCAGTTCCAGGTACAGCTGCAATCAATTTTCTGAAAATTTTTGAAGATTTAACCTATTTAACCACTCCATTTAACTCTTTCAAACTTTTGTTTTGTGTTTCTCCTCTCTTCTCCCATGAAAGAGTAATGAAGTCCCAAGCCATGTTGGCTTGGTGTTTGGGTGCAGATTGTGTCCAGAGGAGAGGGAATCTGTGAGTAGGTGAGAGAGCTCTGTGGAACACTGCTTCCAGTGAGCTCTGGGATATTCAATAGCAGCCCTTACCTTTGTCAAGGGCCTCATCCAGCAGGGCTTTCTGTGGAGGGAGCTGTTGTTCCTGTGCTCCTGTCCCCCATGGGGGAGCACCATTCCCTGGTTAATGGTGCCCAGATTCAGGAGGTCTGGCTGTCTTTACAGGTGCAGCAGCTTTTCCAGGCTCCCCAGTCACAAACTCACCTTGATGGGCTCTCCCACCCCTGGACCACCCAAGGTTCAGCCCCAGCTCTGGTGTTTTCCCCAGGAAAGGGATTTTCTTTGGCCATTAGCAAATGGTGCTGCTGTGCTGGATGGAGGCAAAGGGGAGCAGCCTGTGGGAGCTGCCCAGGGCCAGCAGCCAAGCAGGGGCAGCACAGGGCAGGGCCCAGCCCTGCTGCAGGAACCTGGCCTGGAGCTCACCCAGCCAGCCTTGGATGGGGCTGCACTGAGGAGCACATCCCTCACTGCTTCTGGAGTTAGCTTGGTGCTTTTTCATCATGCTTGCCTGTGAGTGATGATTTCCATAAATTTGCCTGGAGGGTGTTTTGGTCTTATTTATCATGAGATGTGTCATTGCCTGCTTGGTGAAATCCTTTGTGGCACCAGGATGACAACAAATGCAGCACTTCTGATGGAAAACTGAATGGTCTTGTGTTGTCCTGAATCTTTACACTGAAAGCTTTGGGTGGGGTTTTTTTTGTTTTGTTGGTTTGTTTTTTTAATGACTGCATAAAAAGAACTGTAGACAAAAATGTTTGTTTTGGGGGACAGCTGAATTTGGTTGAGCTGGACTCCTTGGGTGGCTCTGTGTCACAAGCATCATGGAAGTGCTCCAAACATCTGGAGCTGCTGCTACAGCAGAGCCTCTGCAATGGGCACAGACCAAAATTAGGGCTCTGCTCTCTTGTAGCTGCTCAAAATCTTTATCATTTATTGCTCTTCCATGAATATTTTTAGTGGGATTCAGATTCAGCCCCCTTTTCTGTTTAATTCCTGCCTGTGGGTGCCCTGTGGGATGTGTCTGGGGCTGCTGCCACCTCCCCACATCACATTAAATGGGCTCTGTCCCACGGGGCTGGGGTGGTGAGAGGTAGGTGGGTCAT